AAAGAAAACACATGCACACATGAAAGCCAGCGTTAAATAAATTTAAAAAAAAAACCCCTCTACATTAAAGCATCCCACCCATGCGAAAAGACCATACATAGTTAAAAGCCAAAGGTGTGGTTAAAAAGGAATGTTTTTGCCTGGCACCCAAAGATTTGTAATGGTGGCGTCAGGCAAGCCTATCTAGGGAAAGCATTTTGCAAGCTTCGAGTCACCACTGAAAAGGTCTGTTCTTACGTTGCCATCCTCTGGACCTCCCATGGAAGGGGCACATGAGGAAGGCCTCAGATGACAGAATCTGGGCATGCCCCCTGGGTATGCAGCATACCTTTAACTCTGCAACCTACACAATGCCTGCACTGCTTCTCTCTCTGATCTAGTCCGCATGATGGCCCAGGCGAATCTCCATTTCTAAGCTGGTTAGGCTGAACATACTGCAGAGAATGCCTCTTTCGCTTCTGCCCACTTTGGAGTCTTAAAGGTTCACCAGGGCTACACTCTTAATGATACTGTCTCTCAGCAGGCTTGGACAAGAGCAAGCAGAGAAGCCTCTCCTGGAGACACCAAAGTCCAGTCCCAAGACTCTTTCACAACTGCTGTGAGTCCCACCTGAACACTGGGGTTGATGACTCAAGTTAGAAACCAGACACTGAACTTGGTACATTTCGTTCCATTCTGCTGGAAAGGCTTAACTGCCTAGCCCAAGGCTATGGGGATAAGGTAGGACATATCTATATCTTTCTTTGCCCTAACCTGATGCCCCCCAGATGTTCAGGGAGTTGTAGTTCTCCAGTGCTCCCCCCCAAATGTTTAGGGGTACTCTCATTTTACTACTCATATTGAAATACTGCCCCTCAATGAGGCCAAACTTAGATTCACAAAATGTTTAGGGGTATGCGTACCCCTGCGTACCCCCAGAAAAAAGCACTGTAGTTATCTATATATAATTTAAAACAGTTGGTCAGTCAAAAAGATGTGCTGAGCCCCCCATGAGCATGGTACATCACTTCCCTTCCTTTGGTGCTATTTGCATGTTAAGGTGTGATGTTAGCATATATGAATGGAGAGAGGGAAGAGTTTCCATATTAATTCTTAAGGAATTCTGGCCAAATACTCTGTCTGCAGATGTGATAGTTCTGGCAGGTGGAGGAAAACACACACACACACACACACACACACACACCTACTTTCATCATTGGGGCTAATGTGTGAAGACCATTTTTGTATTCAGCATTGACTAATGTACACATTTTTGCAAACAATTTCCCGTAATACAATGCATTCTTAATGTTATTTTCACTACTCTGTGTATTTGTATTCACAATTCACCCTCATATTCACTCTTGGTAAATGTGGTTGGGTTGGAGAACTGCACCGAAATTTGTATCTCTCCAAATTTTGCAAAGGATAACTGCATTTTTGGGAAGAATGAATTCAATGGGTTTGCATTCAATTTATTTATTCGGCTTTGCTTTTTATACCCCACCTTTCCTCCACGGAGCTTCAGGTGGCAGACATGGCTCTCCTCCTCCATATTGTCGCACCCCCCATTGAAATTTATTTATTTTTTTGCCTGCAAAAATGGTTTGCCTTTATTTCATATTTTTAGGGGGAGCCAGAGTTGTTGAGCTTTTTGGGGGAAGCCAAAGTTGTTGAGCTACTTTTTTGGCAGAGACCACGTGCCTTGCAACGGGGAGTCTGCCTGTCACTGAGGAGGACCATTTTGGCAGCGGGAAGCCTGCGCGCACCAGAGCCACAGCGTCTCTCACAGACGTTTAGTGCCGCACAGCATTTAGTCACCCCCATCAGAGGCGATGCCCACGCCTCACACAAAGCCCTTTGCCAATGCTTGCGTGCCCATTTGTCTCAGGCCCCATCTGCATTACGCATTTGAAGCAGTAGCATATCACTTCAGACTGTCATGGCTTCCCTCAATGAACCACAGGAAATGTAGCTGATTAAGGGTGCCGAGAATTGTTAGGAGACCCCTATTCCTCCACCCCCCCTGAGCTACAATTCTCCGAGTGGCTTAAGAACAAGCGAACTCTGGGAACTGTTGCGAAGCAAAAGAGAACATGATTTCTGACCAAGGATGGCACAGCTTACCAAAGCAGTTGTCTCTTACGTTTTAGTTTCCACACATGGGGAAATTGCAACCACAGAGTCTCTAATTGGGAAATCACAATGCATAGCCATGCAGAACAGGACTCAAGGTCAAGAGAGGCTCAAGGTGCTTGCATAGCAAAGGAATAAGGATACAAAAGTCTATGAGGGAGGAGGCGGCGGCGACTGGCAGACCTAACACTAATGCAGGGAAGAGGAACCTGCAGCCTTCCAGATGTTGGACACCCAACTCCAAGCATCCCCAGCCAGCCTGGCCAGTGGTGAGGGGAGTTGTAGTCCAGCAAAATCTGGGAGGCCACAGGTCTTCCACCCCTGTATTATTGCTTTTGGTAACCATAAGGTGTTTATATTGCTTGGGGGGGGGAGTTTAATAGCATCTTAAAAGCGAACATACTTTTTGTGTTCATGGACCTCCTGAAAAATGTTTGTAGTGGGAGTGTGCAAGAATGGTCAGGTATCAGTCCTCTTTGTTACAGTATAAGAAATATCCCTCTTTGAAGTTGTAAAAGGCTCTATATACCAGCCTTTTATTTAACCTACCTTGTAGTCGGATTTTTCCTCCATCACAAAAGGATGGAGCTTTTACTTATTTTAAAAATTACTATGCAGTTTCCATGCTTGTTGCAGTGAAGGGTTTTCCTCTTGCCTCTTGCTGTTGTGCTCATGATGTCCTGCTTGTGGGCTTCCCATCGGGGCATCCAGCTGGCCACTGTGAGGACAGGATGCTAGACTAGATGAGCCAGTGGCTCTTTTTGTTTCTTTGTATACCGTATGGAAACTGTAACCTCTGGAGGCTTATTTGCAAGGCTGCTATATATTCTGAATTAGGCTCAGGATCAGGTACTGTAGCTGCTGAACTACTAGTTCGGACCCTAGTGGAACATTTGGGGATTACAATTCTTGTTTTGTAAACTATTGCATTAAGAATTGGAAAGTCCTTGTTACAGCACAGCACATCCTAGCAAGAAAAAAAAAATCTATTGTGAAAGGAACACAAGAGGAGCCGCTATGCATCAGACCAAAGGCCCATCTAGTTCAGCTTATTGTTCTCAAGAGTTGAAAACCAGGTGCCTATAGAAAGCCTGCAAGCAGGACCGAAGCACAACAGCACTCTCTCCTCCTGCAGTTTCCAGCATCTGGTACTCAGAGGAATACCATCTCTGACACTGGCAGTGGTACACACGTATCATGACTAGTAGCCACTACAGATGGATGCCTTTGTCAGTTTCAGTTTCTCATTTTTCAGGTCAGATCAGTTCTCCATATTTTCATGTGCATGCATTTGTAAAAATTAAATACTCCACTTGAAAATTCATCAGCATTTTAGTATGTGTTTGTCCTAATCTACACATTTTTGCATGCAGTTTCCCTTAACAGAATGCATTTTGTATGTTGCTTTCATTAATATTTGCACATGTTATCCTAGAATATGAATTTTGTACCCATTACTTGGCTGGAAAACTGCATTGCAAAGATCTGAAGGGTGGATTTTGAAGGGTGTGTGTGTCTCACTTTGTGTATTACATTGGGAAGGGTGGGTTAGGCAGGTTCACATTTAAATGTAAACAAAACTGAATTTCTCCCTCATCCCTAGATTAGCCATTGACAGCCTTCCTCTCCAAGTCCTGTTTAAGACTTGAGGGAACAGTTAACTAGCTGCACAAGCCTGGCTTCAGGTAATAGAGGCTCCCTTAGTGCCCGCCCCCCAGCTATCTTGTGGATGGGCTCCTCCTGTAATGGTGGTAGCTCTAAGCTGCTTCCCACAACTTGCCAGCCCTGCTTTCTGAATTACACAGGCTGCACCCCCAAGGCATGTATGTTAGGGAGCACAGCATAAACAAGTTGGTGGCCCCAGGGAGTTTAGGTGTGTGACCTAGAGCTCTGACAATCAGTGCCACAATCAGGCTACCCACTCTGTCCCAACTGCCTGGGAGGAGACAGTCAATCTTTCTGTCTAGTTGCGGTTTGGCAGTGACACCAATCTGAGCTCTGGGCCACACACACAAACTCGGTGAGCCCATTTTAATTCTGCTGGCCTGATCTGAACATACACAGACTGATGTGGGGTTGGCAAGACTGGCTGTGCAGCCTCAAGCTCCAATCAATGCCCCTACCCCAGTCCCCACCACCTGCTGTCATGGGCAAGCAAATGTCAGTGTAGTCACAGAAGCAATAGGTTTCTGATTGGGGCAAGTTCTATGGTAAAGTGACCCCGTGTGTTGCTGCATGCTGGTGATAGGCCTGCTCTCTCCCTCCGAGACACACAAACTCCCCATCCCCCCTCCAGAAATGTGCCATAGATTTCTGGGAACTGTAGTGTGTAAAGGGTGCCAGGAATTGTAGCTCTGTGGGGGGGGGACTACTATTCCCAGGATTCTTTGGGGAAAGTTCAGTGATAAAAATGTGTTTTAAATGTATGGTGTGGATGTGACCATAGTTTGTGGCTTCTTGTGCCCACTGGGATTATGAAGAGCATGGGCTCTGATTCAGTAGCACAGATTTGGAACCTTTAGCCCTCCATCAGCCCCCAAAAGCATGGCCACCAACCAGGGATGTTGGGAATTGGAGTTCAGCAACATCTGGAGGGCCAAAGGTTCCCCACACCTGGGGGACTGAAAAGGCCTACTTCCACCAGTGCTGTTGTTGCAGTCACATGACAGCACTGCAATGACAGTGCTGGGAAGGCTTGAGGACCCAAGCCTACACCTCTGGGCCTGCTTCCAAGGGGCTCGTTTAGGCATGTTGCTTCACTAAGGGATGGGGGACAACTCAGTCCCTGGTTGCAATTTAAGCAATAAGCAGCCAGCACCCAACTTCTGTCATTCAGCTGGACAGAAGGGGAAGGGGTGAAAAAAGACGACAACAGTACCATCAACAACAATTCAAGGGGGAGAGATGCCCCCACAAGCTGAGCAGCATATTTAATCATCACCTTCAACAAATCAGTAGTGCAGCAATGTAAACAGAATTCAGGAGAACTTGAAAACTTGTTACGCACTTGAATCAAGGATGGCCAACTTCTACATTCTCTGAGGCCATTGTAGCCACCACCAACCCACCTTAAACAGTGGCTTGTGACCTCAGAAGTGTGTAGCATTCTCATCTGGCTAGCCTCACTCCAATTACAATAATAAAGGACCACAATTAGTATTGCAAGCTATTTGACTTTGGTTTGCCAACCAGGGGCTGGATCTGGTTTCTGGGTTGCCAGCTGGCCACTCCTGACTTAGAGAGAGAGCCTGGAATTCCAGTTTGGAAATTAAAACGAAACCCTCATCATCAAAGCTCAAGAGTCTTGAAGAGTTGCCCTTCAGTATTAGATGATGGTAGCAGCGGAGGTGGGGGGTGGAGTGTCTGTCAAAGGTGTATTCACCTTTGGGGAGAGACAAGGTTTGCCAAGTATGAAGCTGGTTAACAGTGTTGGTGAAGAGAATGCAGGTGACAAATGAAAGTAAATCACAAACATCACCATCATACTAGTATGCATCTTCCATTGACTTTAAAAAAGGGGAGTGGGGAGCTGGATTGTACAGTGTGGAAACTCTCAATCTCTATATCAAACGAGGTGCTCAAGGGAGACTCCTGCAGTTGCTTTCAATAAACAAGAAGTTTTTGAACCTCCTTGGTGAATGGACAATCGGTGTTTCTTGTGAGAAACACACAATGAACATGTAACAAATGACAAATAAAGGGAAAGGGAATTGGGAGTGAGAAGAGGCATTCATCAATTGGGGATCAGAGGGAATCATCAATTTGATACCCCCGCCTTTGTCTCCGATACCCCGCTTTCAAACTGTGCAAATATTATTTGTAAGATAGACAGCATATCAAAGGTATTTTTTTTTTCAAGTGGAAGAGAAACTTGCTGTCTTACAGTGTTCCTGACTACACAAAGGGAAGGCTTCCAGTATATGTGTAGAGTGCTCTTGAACAATGCAGGGGGATAAGGGGAGTCATAGACGTGGAGGTATCACTTCTGTTCCCACCAGTGGCAAGACTAACAATAATTTAAACACACACACAAAACGGGGAGGGGGACACTTTACAATTGTAAATGTGACCCATGGGGTAAATTCTTCCCATGCCCTGGAGACAGCAGTGCTTCACATTCTGCAAGCTCGGCCTCCTATTCCTTTTTGGAAAGAAAGTACAGTCCGTGAGAGATGGGGAGAGGGACCCAACAGTCCTTTTCTGCAGCTGAAGTGCTTTAGAAAAGAACACAGTCCAAGGCATCCTGGCTAGAGCAAAGCTGTGGTTTTTGCAGTCAGAACTGTCTCCCTCCACAAGAGGGAGCGTGTGAAGAAGATGGCCATCCCCCGAGGCAAGCAGATTTTGGGGCGGGTAGCACAGGGTGTGTCTTGCAGTCCTGGGCAAGATGGCGCTTTTCACAGTTTCACAGGAGTGGTTTTAAATCCTGCAGCATTTCGGAACCAGCACCTACCCTTCACAGTCTTTTGTTTCACAGCTTCTTTTGCCAAATTTCCCTTGAAGTCCAGATTCAAGTACAGGCAGTTCAATTTTTTTTTTAAGAAAAGAAAGATCTGCAGTAAACAAAAGTGTCCATGTAATACATTAGCAGTGCTATCCACAACACAGCAGGTTTCTGGAGGCTCCTTGTGCAACTGAGGAGCAGAACAGGCTTCTGAGTCATTTGCTGTCCCTTTGCGAGTGCCAGTCCATGGCTATAGGATTTCCTCCCTCTGGTTCTTCGGCTTCGGCGTCACCTGCCCATTGCGCAGGAAACCATTCTGGTTGTGCAGCAGCTTTCCCTTCTCCCGATCTGGCCATGTAAAGATAGCTTCATCGCTGTCTAGCTCAGATTCTGAATGCATCAGGCTGGTGTTCTGGGCCTGGGCTTTCTGTTTACTGCCTTCAAATATAAACACACAAAAAAGTAAGATAACCCATTCAGTAAGAATCTCTCTCTCTGAGTGTGTGTGAGAGAGACTCCTGCTGCATATTTTATATCAGCATAAGAAGCTGGTCCACCTAGCTCAGAATCAGGGGTGGAGCACCTCCAGTCCACAGGCAGTCCCATTCTGGTCCCAATTTGGCCTGCAAGGTCATTTCCCCCAAACCACACCCATCTGCCCCACACCTGACTTTGCAAATGATGTCAAGTGTGGGGCAGGTAGAGATGCAGCTGGATTGACTGTGCATCTGGGTTCCCCATGGGGGACTTGACCACACAGCCAAATCCAAAGGCTGAAAGGCAGCAACTTTAAGCCTGCTTATCAGCCACACTTGAGAGCATCTGGATGGTTATACACAATCTTGCTTCCAATACCATTTGTGCTTGCAAACGTTTTGGGGTGGTCATACTGCTTTGTTTGCAATAGGTGTGTTTCCTGCCGCTTTCATAACACATATAGTCAGTGGGTGGGTTTTGCTCTGTCCTGGTCTAAAAAACCCCCTAAAAAACCCTTTAAATATATTTCCTAGCTGCCTACAGCCTGAGCAAAGCTATCTGCTATGATGTGCCTTGAACGAACATAAGAGCAAGCTCCACCTTGGGAGCAATCACTCCAGTGGCAGAATTGTGTAGGGGTGAAACAAGCTATTAAAAAAGGAGGGGGCAGAAAAAAGGCAGCATGCAACTCTCTGATAGCCTTGTTAGTACTTTTTTAAACTGTGTTTTTTCAATGTGTGTTTCCAGAAATATCTTTAAGGATTTTCAGTTAAAATCCACCTGGAAAAAGAGGCTAAGTCCCACCTCCATTGAGGTAAACAGGAAAGAATGGATCAAGGGTTGTCAACCTTTTTAGACCAGTGGGCAAATTTTGAATTCTGGGGAAGTGCTGGGGTTGTGACTTAACCCAAAATGGCTTGCATGCTAGCATGACATAAAACAGAATTATGGAGACAACCAGCCTTGACAAACTTATGCTTACCATAAGACAATAGTTACGGCCCTATTGTGAAGATCACACAAAACTAATGAGCACTTTAAAAAGCAAAACTGAATGACAGATATAATGTAGAAGTTATTCTGAATTCCTCTCGGAAACCCTCTACTGCCAAAAGTGCTCCTAGCACATGGGGAAAAGGTGACCCCCATTTTGCTGCCTTTGTGGCAAGCATCTTGACATGCCCTGTTGGACAGAACTCTGAGGGGAACAGACACAACTGAATCACTGAAAACTCGGCTTTCAAGCAAACACCCACAGAGCTACAAGCTTCCTCTATGTCATGCAGTGATTTCAAAACCCTTGAGAATAGAAACCAGCCTGTGTCAGCATTCTGTGAGTGCTAACCTCTTTTCTGATGTCTTACCTGCTTTGGGATTTGGTTTTAACTCCAGGCTCTCTTGATCTGTGGCATCCAAGATCTTGTATTTGCTCTTCCTTTTGGGTTTTCCCTTACGTCTTAAGAAAAAATGGGGGTGGGGGAGAAAGAAACAGATTGAAGCTTAGATGGAGTGGGAGGCCCTCACAGAGAACGAGCACCTAACCCAAAAGTAAGAGCAGTGAACTTAACTGTTAAGGGAAGAGGGGTCTGGAGAGGCCTCAGGGCCTTACTCACTTTTTGCAGCAGCAGACCACCACCCAAGAAAAGATCCCCAAGGAGACCACGATAACAAACGATGCAATGACAACGTAGAGCACGCTCCATTCTGTAAGAAGGACAGAGACAGAATCTCAGCATCAGACTCTGGAGCTTGAACTAGGAGCCTCATCGTTGGGGCTGGGGCTCGGATCCAGCTTCTGGGAACTGGGGCCAGTGCCTTCATCAGGCACAGAAAGAGGAATAGATATATGTGGCATTGGTCCCCGTGACTGGCAGGAAATATAAAGTGCCTGGATTGGCCAAGCCTTGAAACCTGGTCTTCTGCCTTGCCTGGCCAAGAACAGATCGGCACATTCCGCCTGCTACACTTCAGGTTCTAGCTGAAATACAGGCCCCGGATCTGTCTCCAGCTCTCAGAACTTGATCTCAGGGACTATGGGTTGTAGACCTCACAGTTCAGGTCTGCCTAGGGGTAGAACTGCAAGCTGCCCTGGCTTGGCTGACACTGGCCCAGTTTAGACAATCATTGAAACCAAAGTTTAGATTACTATTAATGATTCACATCCAGCCTTTGACGCACACACTTGAAAATTAAAGTTTCTCTCTCATTTTAGAACAAACCACAGTTTCTTATTCTGAATCAATTGAGGGAACTGTGGTTTATTCTAATTAGTTAAAACAAACCTGGATCAATTTGACCATGATGATTGCCTGAACTGGGACATTTAGAATAACAGCAGGCTGAATTATGCTCCCGATGCCATGGGAGACAGAGGTGGAATCCAAATAGGGGCAGCTTCTCCGAGTGCATGTGTAGAAGAGTAGGGTGCAAATAACAGATCAATTAACTGGCTGAACTGAGGACAGGGCAGGGCAGGCACAGACCCCCGAGGGACTTGCTAAGGAGCAGGGGTGCCAACTTGGGCTCCAGGTTATGGATGCCCAATGGCTTCCGTGACATAATGTGATGTCGTGATGTCACGTTACATCAATGCACTGCAGTGGCGCTTCTGAGGCCTGGCAGGACCTCAGAGGAGATCTCTAAGACCTTGTGTGGCCTTGGAGATCACATATGAGACCTCTGACATGACTTCTGGTTTGTACCAGAAGTCACGTCAGAGGCCTAGCAGGGTCTCCAACATCACCTTGGGGGTTGCAATGGGCCTGTGATACAACTTTCGGTAGAAACTGGAAGTCACATTGGTGCCCATACTGTGGGTGCCTGGGCCCCCAGGACCCCTATAGTTGGCGCCGATGCTAAGGAGTCCCTCAAGAAGTGGCTCTACAGTTCTATATTTGCATGTTGCACCAGGCTGGCTCAGGTACCTCTGCTGGGACTATAAGCAAAGTGGGAGAGTTGGCTGAGATACAACTCTTGATGTCTCAACTGGCCACTAATGTGGGAGTGGGGTGGTGACATCCCTTCACTAAGCCCTGTCCTACCAATCACCTAAGATGAGGCCAGAAGCTGCTCAATATTTAAGACACTAGATATAGTAGAGCTGCTGATTTCTGCAGAGATTCTGTGTGATCAGGCCATTAATCCCTTCCCTCAAACATATAGGGTTCCTTGGCTATACCAAACCAACACCCAATACCCTTTGCCTGTTCTTCTTTCCCTTTGAGGGCTCCTTCTCCACAGTGGGGCATGACACAGAAACAAACAGAAACTTTCTGCATTTAGGCACTGAGCCTCTTGCAGAAGCTGTTGCCTTATTAACCAGGAAAGGAAAGAGAGAGTGGTACCTACCACAGTTGCTCTCGCCATCACCTAGTTGCACTTTGATGAAGTTCTCCATCCAGAAAGGGTCACAAACACAGCGCTTGGTGAAGGAGTTGCAGTGCCCATGTTCTGAACAGTTCAACTGGCAGGCTGGAGGAGGGAGAGCCCGGCAGACACCACAATTCAGTTTCACAGTCAAACTTGAAGGGATGAGGAGTCAAACATTTTCCCCTAGATTCTCAAGACAGCCAGGTTCAGAGATCCATTTTGTTCCTTATCTTATCTATAGGATATACTGCTTGTGGGGGACACTGATCAATATCATGCAAGCAGGCCCTGTTTCATAAGACAAGTCTGTGCTACATGCCATTGAGAAGTGCAATAAAAACATCTAGTGATATTTGAATGTCCCCCTCCCCGCAAAAAACCTTAGATCTATGCATGCACATATACACACTGGTGCAGAAAATTATGTGCAAACACTGGGGGTTTCGCCTGCCCCCAATGCCATTTTCTCTCACTTTCCAAGTTTCAAAAATACATTTGTGGTCTCTTTTGCTGAATGCAAGCTTGAGTGCCAGCTCTATAATAATGGTCAGTAGGGCTGCCTTTTCCTTCTACAACATCACTGTTAGTTCTTGGTCCATGAGTAGCACCCAGTCAACTTCTGGTTTCAGCCTCAATGGCCCCTGAGGGAGATGCCAAACCCCAGCCAATGTGCATAATGTGAACTCCCTGCAGAACATAAATCCCATAATGCCACTGAGAGTTAGCAGGATGGTGTGTGGGTGTCTGTGTCACAATGACAAAGGCAGAGGCGGCCAGCTGTCAAGAGGCTTTTGGCTTCTCCTTCACAAAAACAGAGCTCTGCATATCCCCTGCTATAGCTCCTCCTCCACTTCCCACTGTGTGTTACATTGCCAGTTGTCTGCTCTTGCCGCTTTGCTTCTCACGTTTAGGCCTCATTCCCTCTTTCTTGTGCCACCCCCAGAAGTGGGAGCAGTTCAGCATGCACCCTGCCTCAGTTCAAGAAAGCAGCACAGATAGCAGCATTATTAATTGAAAACTTATACTTGGAACCGTGAAGATTTAGAAGTGCACAATGGGAAGTAGCTTCCAAAAAAGAAAAAGAAAAAAAAGACTGACAATGGGAATAGAATGGAGGATAAAACCTTCTTTCTTCCCATAGATCAACTGCAAGGTCAAAGATAGGGTGGAGAAGGAAGGAGAGGAAAATGGTGCTAAAGTGGATATGCAGGACTGAAGCCCCTCCTATCAAAACAGTAATAGCACTGTGCTGCTGGTTCATATGGCATGGACCATGGTAGTAAAATGCAATAGCTCAGAAAACTTGGCATAAAACTAGTCTAAGAACTCCCAGAAGAAAGGATCAGCAATAGTGGTATCAATACAACTGGGGGCAGGCATCATATACATTTCAAGGAGGTAAGAAGCAATCATATCAGTTAAAAACAACAACACCCTAATGAGGTAATGCCCAGGGACAGATTCAAATTATGTGGCTTTAGGCAGATTTGTAATCCCACCCCCACCCTGCAACCTGCAATAAACGAGAATAACTCTGGTTTAATTTACTGGGCTCCTATTTGCAGTGATTCCTGAGATAACGTACATGAAGTGATCAGAACAACAGGCATGGTGGCTGAGGTTGAGAGAGTTGTAGTCCAGAACATTTGAAGGGCACCAGGTTAGTGAAGGCTGCTATAAGCAACCATATCTTCTCCCATTCTTCAAGCTTGGTAGGAAAAGAACCATCACTGTCGGTTTCCAGCAGAAACATTATTGCTAGGATGCTTGTTGGTGGAACATATCATTCCGTCTCTCTGGAATTTATCTAGCTGGAGAAATTGGGGTCCACTATGCTAGTTCAGTGGCAGAGCATCTGTCTTGCAGGCAGAATGCCCTAGATTCAATCCCTGGCATCTCCAGGTAGAACTGGGAACGTTCCCAGTCTGAAACCCTGGAGAGCCACTGTCATTAAGTGTTGACAAATCTGATTGAGATAGGCTCCATTTAAGGTGGCATTGTCAGAAGCAAGATATTTTTTACTGTGATCCTCAACCCCACCCCAGATATGGTGCACTTACAGATGCAATGGTCTTAGGGGAAGTTGGACACAGGGAAAGTGAAACTTCTCACTGGAAGGAGGTGGTGCAAGGTGACAAGAAATGGTCAGCAGCCACATCAGCTGTTCCTCTGACTTACTGACTGTATTGATCTCCAGCACTCGGAAGATGAGGAAACCTGACTGCTGCTGCTTCCGCAGCTCGTTCTTGAGTGACCAAGCAATGTCATGCCCTTTGAAGATCTGATGAGGAGGCTGATTCCACACGTAGAACACCATCTTTGTGCTGCAATTAACAAGAAAATTGGGGATACAAGAAGCATAAATAGAAGGTTTCTCTCCAGAAAACCACAACTACTGGGGTTGGGATGGGTGAATGGGAAGAACACAAAGATTTCCATAATACAAAATCTTTAGCAAGTCTCACCCCTACAAGCCTTCCTTTCCATTAATTCCTCAAGTTTCTTTGGAAGTGAATCTATGTTCTTCGAGAAGTCAGTTCTTGGAAGCAAAATAATTATGCAAAACCAAGGAACCAGACACACATATATCTGCTTTGTTTGCATGATTTATTGCCATTGCAGACTTCAGATTTTTTTCCCCCAGAGCAAAATATGCATAGCTCTGCTCAAAAAGGACAAAATGTGAAACAGCCCCCCTGGAACCCTCTCTTAACAGCAAATCAAAGCAGCAGCACCAGAATCGAGCCATGCAAAACCCCATCCTGTCCACCTGGCACAGATAAAAGTGCTCCTTAAAAGAGAGAGACAGACAGACAGAGAGAAAGAGAGGAGCACAAAAAAGAAAAGAAAAAAAAGAAAATGCATCCATATTCCATTTACTTAATGCTTTCTTAACTGCAGCCAAATATATATTGATCAGATGCAAACCTCTTCCTCTTCTGCTAGAAGGAAGAACGGTAAATGACTGGTCTGCGACTGGGATGATGTGAGGTGGCGGGGGGGGGGGAATGGGGTTAGAACTGAAAGCCCAAAGCACCTCTGTTTCTTGGCTCATGTCATTAAGCAAAAGAATTTTTTCAAGGTTAACGAAAAGTGAACATTTCACTTATGTACCAGAAGATTCAGTCTGGATAAACTTGGCAGGAAGTTCAGACGCCCAGATTTCTGAAAGAACTGGGTAATGCACCAGGGTTAATCAAGCACTAGCTTAGGCAAGAGCTCTGTGCTGTTGCGATTCCTGGCACATGAGAACCTAGGGCATGAGGATCCACAATGCAATCCAGGGCTCCAAGCCTGGGTTTGTCCTCCTGCCCCAAAACCTAAGTCCTTATTCTCTGAAGAGGTTTGGTTTGCAGTGAAGCAAGGTTGACAACATAAACTTATGAAAATATATCCACACACAGGCTGCTTGAACTTGCCCTTTAAGGCTGAAACCAGTTTTATGTGCAGCCTTTTTCTGTGCGTGGCTGTAGTTAAGCGCCCCTTCCCCCACCCTTTGTCTTCAATGGATACATGCATCTGGCTCTGAAATGAATGTGGGGTGCTGCTCCTCCTCCATGGGGGCTACCACCCTTAGCTTTGGTTTCCAAACAACTGCATGGTCAGTGGCTCAATGCCTGGCACTTTCTCTTCAGGTTTTTACTGTTTTACTGTTCTAAGAAAGTGGGGGAGGATGGGGAGAGAGGAGTGAGCTTCATGGCAGATACTCAGGCCAGAGAACTAGCACTGTTCAAACCCAGCTTCTGCTGCAAACCTGGGGAAAAGCACTGTGATACTGTGGATAAGTGTACATGAGACATACAGCGAGTGCATTCTATCTATGTCTGTACACACCATGAAATTCTCATTATGAATGAATATTTTTCAAGTAAACATATGAATACAAGTGCACACAAACTTATCCACAAAATATTTCAATCTTGAAAATCAACCGCCAGCACTCAGCTCAAAAAGGGAATGCTGTGTTTTATCACTTTCCTATGTCTGTTTTTAAATGACCAAATTGCAAGTGGTGCCTTCTAGGGTGCAACTAGGTTGTCTCGGTTAAGATCCTCTCCATGGACTCCTACCTCTCCTCTGTGTAAGGCTGAATCTTTTGTACGATGATGTCTGAATCCAGGACTCCCAGCAAAACCGCTATCTGACGGATAAACATGCCCTTCTGCCGTTCTGTCAGCTGGCTGACATTCACATCTAGTATCATCTCCACAAGGTTGTTCTTCCTTGGATCTGAAAAGAATGCATAAGTACCATCTCACTGATGAATTCCAGCTGATTTGAAAATTTTGGCTTGCCCCATTCCCAACTACATTTATTCAAATAGAAATATGAGCAAATGTACATGCTGTGTGAATCCTTGCATCCCCAGCTTGGCACAGAAGCCAACCCAAATAGACAGGTTGTGCAGAGCATCCAAGAGATTCAGCCTTTGGAAAAACTCCAAGAGAAGAGCATAGCTTCTAGCAACTAGGCTGTTTTATAATCAGATGCTGAACCAACTCCTGATCTCTTGCCCCTCCCTTCAAATTCTTCCATTTCCTGATACTCCCCATTGGATTCTGCTTAACACCTGCCCTCCAAATCTCAAAAAAGATCTTTGTTAACACCCCCCCCCCCCGGCTATCGGAAAAAAAAGTATCACAGATACTACACCCATTTTCTCAGTGTTAGGCAGTCACAAAACCTTTCCCATGCATATACTGCAACAATTATTACTGCATCCAATTACAAATGGGATTCCAGTTCTTACAACTGTGTCAAGATATCAACAGATGTAAACTTAGGAAGATGGAAAATTGGAGAAGTACTGATATGCAGTTGAAAATAGAATCAAAAGGACCCATGGAAGGGATGGGGGAAAGTCAGGAGATTCAGAGTAATCTCAGAATTTGGATTTTGTATTGTTTTATGTTGTATGTTTATATTTTCAAAAATCAATAAAAAAGATTATTAAAAAGATATGAACAGATGTAAATAAAGAGAGCCATATATGAAGCTATAGAGGGATCTGGTATTGTTTAACCAGTATACTGCATGTCTAACAACAGGATTTACTTCTGAGTAAATGTGTAGAAGATCAATCATACTTCTTGTGTAATCAGACTGATACAGGGCCTTAGTCCCGAGAGCTGGTGTAAAGTAAGGTCTAAGAGTGTGAGCTGGGAAGTAGGGATGGGAGGACCAGTCAATTTACCCTGTTTGTTTTCTTAAGAAATCATCCCAAATATGTGTCAGCATTTTAGTGTGCATTTCTCCTAATACACACATATTTGCAAGCAATATCCCCAATCATGTGATTTTTTTGTACAAAATTCACAAAATATGGAGAAGTGTGCATTTTGAAGGATAGTTGCATTTTGGTTCACAATCACATACTGTTTCAAGAAATGAGAGTAAGGTAGTTTTGCATCCAAACCAACCCCCGCCTCCCGCATCCCTACCAGGAAGTCCTCAGTCCAAATCTCACCTCACCCATTAAGCAGGGCTTATGGATGCACCCCTTCTCTATCTCCACATCTACAATAGGGAGTTAGTAATCTTTACAATATGTAGGCCATTATTACTAAGGTACTGTTTGTGAAGTGCTCTGAACACGCAAGGAATGTGCATATATTACAGTATTGAAAATCAATAAATGAATACTTTAAAAAGTGTGCATATAAATGCTAATTATTATGATTAATTAGCAATAGTTTCTCTTCCAGAAGATCAAGTACATGTGAGTGTGTGTGCTTGTGTATTTGTAGCTCACCAGGTTTTACTTCCACTGTGGCTCTGTCCATATCACTCTCCCCTTTGGCATCAGTCACTTTGAGATGGAATGAATATGTCCCTTCCACCAGGTTGGAGAGGAACAGCACCGCATGGTGGTCTGAGTTATTTAACACCTCCTGCATTTAACAAAAACATACAATGGTGATGATGCACCTTGCAATCCTGCGAAATACAAGGGAATATATCAGAAGTGCAGGGTCCCAGGGAGACCTAGGGGAGGAGTATGAAACCTATTGCCGCCTATATGTTACTGGACTCCAACTCCCATCTTCCTTGAGCATGCTGGCTGGGGCTGATGTGAGTTGGGGTCTACCAACATCTGGAGGGCCACAGGTTCCCACTTCTGGTCTAGGGTGACCTCTTCTAGAGCTCTTCTTCTAGAGCATTTTCCTGAAACATTTCACACCCTCCCTCACTGTAACAAGTACCAGATTCCCCTAGGCAGAGGAGAGTTAGAAGCAAGCTAGGCTGTTTTTTTAGCGAACAGCTTAAGAGAAAAGCCATCTTCTTCCAGATGCCCTTTTGTAACCAGGTCTTTGAAGGAATCACTAGCCTTTGGAGCACTGAGACTATCTTGACTTTCAACATCTGAACTCTAAGAACATGCAGCAAAATTCAGAATTTTGAAGAAGAAATACATGCAGTCCTAGTCACAAGACACACTTGTTGGTATAGTGAAAAAATCAGAGACATTTCAAAGGTTCATGAGTCAGAAGAAGAGGTTTAAAAATTAAGTCAAAACTGAGTGCACTTCAGAGGCATAGCTCCCATTATACCAACCCTTTCTTTGCATTTGCTATAATAAACTAACATGCTTCCCCCTGTGGCATTTTGCTCCAAAAAGCACCTCTGTGTAACTGGTCTTAGAAAGATTTAAGCAGGCCCTGAAGAAAAAGAAAATTCAGTACATTGGACGGTCTCTCTTTTCTTGGCTGAGAGCAGTAACTCATGTAGCACTTTCCAAGCTTCACTAAAATTCGATGAGTCACTTGCACACAAGTAAACACTGCAGAATAGATAGCAGCATTACTCACCCCAGCCGCAGGGCTGACGTCATCCCGAGTCCAAAGGAAGGCGACAATTCCTTTGTCATCTGTGGATCTGGAGCCATCAAGCTCTGCTGTGTTGGTAGGAAGGGTGATGACAACATTCCCAGCTATCTTTGCTGTGGGTGGCTTATTGATCTCTGAGTATGAAATGAGGACAAAGGATCAGAATACAAAGGAGCTTCAGCAAACTGTAACCCATCCATAACTAAGGAAAAGTTGACTAATTCTTCTTTAGCAATTCTAATCACTTAGTTATGATTGATGAAGAATATAATACTACCAGGTGACCTGGTTGGGAAATCCAGGTCAGAAGTCCTGCTGTGTAGAGCACTGGGTTGTCTTTGGCAAAGTGCAATGGACTGTATGGGTTTATTGCATAGGGGCAATTCTCCATCTCCTCCTGCTCTCCTCCCTCTCCTGCCCTCTGCTGAGGGATGGCAGTGCCCTCTGAAAGGCTCAGCATGCAATGCAGGGATCTACGCTGAGAATGGTGAATTGGCTGAAATTAGGTGGAGGTAGCTTGCATATGCGCATGAGTTTGACCAAACTGCGGGAGGCAGTGGAAGACAGGAGTGCCTGGTGTGCTCTGGTCCATGGGGTCATGAAGAGTCGGACACGACTAAACGACTAAACAACAGCTTGCATATGAGTTGAGTTCTGCTTATGCAAGCCACCTCTATTTTCTCCAGAGCTCCACTCACACTACAGACCCCTGTCCCACATCTGAGGCCTTCCTCAGGATACCCTGAACCTTTAAATGAGGATACTTATATCACACCCCACAAACACACCCCACACATCCAAGGAAGCTGCAAGGTAGGAGATCAGGACAGACAAAAGGAAGAACTTTGCACAATGTATGGTTAAAAGACAGAACTTGCTACAAGACTGAGCGACAGCTACTAGCTTGGGTGACTTCAAAAGGGGATCAGCCAAATTCCTGGAGGATAAGGCTACCAGTCATTATTACTATTTGGTACCTGCAGGATTAGAGGCAGCATGCCTCTGGATACCATTTGCTGGTGAACATGAATGGGAAAGTGCTATGATGCTCATGTACTGCTTGTGGGCTTCCCACAGGCATCAAGCTGGCCACTGTGTGACAAGAGAGCAGGTCTAGGTGGGCCTTCCGTCTGATCCAGCAAGATTCTTCTTACATTCATCTGACTGCCCGCCTTCACCTGCATAGCAGGGAAGTTCAAATGCATCACATGGCTCAATGATTCAGGCTTCCTGCCGCTTAAGTGCTGGGAGAAGTGGATGTAGGCATGACAGAACCAAGTGTGCTTCAGGCTGGAGATTTGTACCATACCTCGCAGGGTTGTCATGGGAATAACCAAGATAAAAACCAGATTTTAATACACTGAAATGTAGTGAAGGAGCAATGAGTAATAATGACGGGCAATTATGATCAACTTCCTGAAGCCTTCAGGTAGAGCGCTTTTATTTCTGTGGAGCCTGTTTTCAAAAGCTTGATTTTGCAAGTGAACAGTAGAAGCATTTTAACAGGCATTAGTGCTTGGATTTCATTTTCTCACAGAAAGCCCCAGGAAAAAAATGGGATCATCTGGCCATTTGGAGAAACAGAGGCACATGGTTTGGGCAGTGATGGAATCCAAGACTGACGGAAGAGGGAAAACAAGAATAATGTTCTCTTGTCTGTTTGTCAAGTTGCTCAGGGGGCTAAACAAGGGCTATCACACAACAACCTCACAACAATCCAGTGCGGTTAAGCTAGCCCTGCCTTGGCCAACATGTTGCTCTCAAGATGTTTTGGACTGCAACCCATCACTCCAGCCAGCAGAGCTATGCTGTTTGGGGCTGATGGGAGTTGTAACAGGTTGGGGAAGGCTGAGATATGGTTACTGACCCATTACCACCCTGTAAGCTTTCTGGCTCAAGAAGGAATTTCAGCCCTTTCTCCCTCGTCCTACTCCACCACTGCTTATCACCCCAGAACATATTACCTTCTGTTTCATCACCAAGGGATTGCAATGAATAGAAGAGCTTCCTTATGTGGAGCCTTCTTAGCCAAAGGCTGTGTTCTCTCCAGCTACCCACCTTCCTTGACAATGACGTTAACGGAGCTCTGGCTCTGCAAGTTCCGCTCATCTTTGACAGTCAGCGTGAATTCGTACGTCCCGACCTCAAGCCCAGTGACTGTGGCGATGCTGCTGTTGGCATTTTCCAGTTTCACACCATCTGGGCCCCTGGCAAAAAGCCCCAAAAGAATCAGCATGCAGATGTCAAACTTTTGCACAGAAAAGAAGAGGAATATTCTTTGAACACTCTGCCAAGATCCTAGGCTCCCAGGTGCACTGGGCTAGGCCAAGATAATTTGTGCTGTAGGCAAAGCATTTTTTTATTCTTCCCTGTATCATGTTGTATATTACAGGGATAGGGTACTGCTTTCTCTTCAGGGGTTTTCCTGACTAGGTTTGGAGGAGAAATTTGATTCAGTTCTCATGTAATGCCAAATCTGTCCAATTCACACTTTCCAAAACAATATGAGAACTGAAACACAGACATCCATCAAAATCCACAGACATTCAAATTTTACAACCTAGTTCTCAAACCAAAGAATGTTCACAAAAATGCAAATATTAAAGGACAATATGCATAAAAATCAATATATTGGTGAAAGTAACATACAAAAATGCAAAACTGTATGCAAAAATGTGATTTTTAAGGGGGAAATTCATGCTAAAATACTGAGGATTTAGCTTTAGTTTCATGAGGATTTTTTTTAAAAACAAAATTTCACAACTTACTGAAGAAACGTGGGGAAACGAGCAAACTGAAATTGACAGATTATTCCATTCCTGTTCCTGATCATAGCCCCTCTTCTCTATTCCATAAAAGTGAATGGAATGAAAAAGCTTTCCCCCTATTCACTTGTATGGAATACAGGGGAAATGAGGTGTAATCAGGAAAACTAGGCGGGGGCACCATTCCCCCACCCGCCCCAATTTGATTAGTTGGGAACCCTTGCAATCCTCCCATCCTAAAGAGGCACAACTACTGCCTGCTGGCTTAGGCTGGTCTGGATAATAGTGGTTTTGTTTTGTTTTTTAAGATTCTACATACACTGTGCATGTTAGGGTACGATACGGCATAGTTCTGCATTATCATGTGCAAGGTCATGGGTATGCAAGAGGGAGACAGAGAAATTGTACCGTGTTTTTTCCCAAAGGAAGGATGCAATCTTCTGATCATCTGAGCTCTTGCTGCCATCCAGAGTGGTGCTGTCCACAGGCAGAGTTAGTTCTTTGTCTGGACCAGCATCTGCCTTGGGAGGCTTATTGTTTTCTGAGCAAAAGTTCACAAAATGAGAGAGATATGAAGGCACTCTTGAAATGAACTGGATGCTTATGTGGAAGGTGACAGACAAGCATAGTTCACATGAATATACAAAGCAGCCTTGAAGCAAGTCCACCTAGCCCAGTGTTACCTCTGCTGATCGGAAACAGCTCTGCAGGATGTCAGGCAGGGGCATTCTCCAGCTTCTACCCGAGAGCCTTTAATCACAGAGATTGGGAACTAAACCTGGGACCTTGTACATGCAAGCATGTGTTAACCTCTGAGCAACAAACCCTTCATAAACCCTCAGTAAAACAAAACCAAGGACATTCCCACACTGGAAGGGTACCCTGGAAATGCCATGCTTTGTTCACTCATTTTCTATGAGGCATATATACGATATAGTCATTATATTGTTATTGTCCTGTGTTTCCCCCGTACTTTTCCTATCTTTTTTTCAGACTTCAGGAAATCTAATCAGTGTGTGTACCAAGATTACAACAGCACCAAAATCCCTACAGGTATAGACTGCCTACGTGAAACCCTTCAGGGTTTTTTTTTAAAGGGGTGTGGTTTTGACTTTGGCAATAACATATTAGGCTGGAAAACCTATTGCCATACGTTCATACTTTGTTAAATCTTCACTATTAGCTTTTCAGTTAGTGTCATTTTATCAGCATGTTTATTTTTTAAGTTGCACTAAAACAATCTATATCCACATTAACAAAAAAGAATGTTAGTGCAAGATTAACTTCAAAATATTGTGGTCAGCATCGTTTTAGCAGTGTCCCTGCTCCAACGCATTTAATTAGCATTAAGATAATTTTTAGCCTTAAAAAAATTAAAGTAATGACATAGTAGAGCCTAAATAAGAAAGGCTTAGCAGAAAAATGGGGGAAAAAACCAACCACACAACACAACAACCCTGCATGCTCAACTAAACAGTCCTTTCTCCAGCTACATGGCTTCATCACACCAAGTAGTGTGGGAGATGCACAGCTCACAAACTATAGGAATTCAATTACAATTGTGTTTGCAGCTTATTTATCTATTCCCTCATTTCCTTTCTAGACTGCTTTATATTTTTAAGAAAAAAATATCAAAGTGGTTGAAGATAAAACATTATCTTTAAGATTTCAAAATAAAACATTACTATAGAAAGTGAAATATAAAGCTTACAATAGAAGAGCAATTATTAAGCCAGGCATGGGGAATCTCCTGTCAACCCTAGCCACTGGGCATGCTTGCTGGGGCTGATGGGAGTTGCTGCTGAGGAGCAGCTGGAAGGTCAAAGGTTCCCCATACCTGGATTAGGTAGTACTAGCAACTACTTGCTTGGAAGCATCCTAACACTCCTCACACTAAGGGCCAATGCATATGCAACAGCATAGTCAATGATTAAAAGAATGTGAGTGGGCCACAGAATTATATGCTCTCTGCCAGATTCAAACGGTGTTTAAGAAATCTGATTAAGCAGGAAATCTAGTTAAGACATGTGGCAGTGGAGATCTTAACCACAAGAGATTCCCCCCAGCTTAAAAACTGCAGTGTCTTCCATTCTGGATCAGTTTGACAATAGGTTTGTGTCTCTTCACAAAATGGAAGCTCACATGACTCAGAAATCAGGCTGACATTTTCATAGCACCACACAAATCAAAGGGCATACAATCCAAAAAACTGCAAGACTAGCTTTCTGCTTGGTCCAGCAGAGCCTTTGACTTTTTGCTTTTTCCTGAATAGCAATTATCTGTGCTGTACAGCAAGCTGTGTTTGAAATTGAAGGGAGTGGGTGGGCACTGCTATTTGGGGAAAATAGGCTTTACAAAAATAATAATAAAGGGAATGATCCAAAGTTACGTGCTTTGGAGTACCCATTGGTCTCAATGATTGAAATCAATGGTACCTATAAATATGTTCCTTTGTCTGGATCACTGCCTGTCTAGAAGAGCTTATTTTCAGATTGTCCCAGTGTTGGGCATGATTAGCTACCAGACATTTATCTAGGTTTAAGAGAAAACCAGCTGCTCTCAACCAGCCCCACACACTGGCTGCACATACACCATATTTAAACTTCTCCCAAATAATCCTGGGAACTTTGTTAAGGGTTTTCTTAAGGGGTCTGGAAACTATATCTATTTGATGGCTAAACTACAATTCTCAGGATAATTTTTTTTTTTTGGGGGGGGGAGTCATGTGCTTTAAATGTCTGTGTATGAAGTCACTATCTCTTCATCCCCCTTAACCCTGGTCCCACATATATTAATGTCAAATACAGGCTTCTCATATATAATGGGGGGAGTTTTACACACAAAAACCCTTATTAAGCGTACCAGGTTGCACAATCACTGTGACCTCAGCAGTGGACTGGTGGCCAGCAGAATCTGTCACCGTCAGCAGGTAGGTGTAGTCACCTTCACGCATTGCAGAGAGCTGCAGAGTTGAAGTCCTCACTCCCTTGGAAACAACAAATACCAAGAATTTAAGTCCCCATTCACAAAGAAAGAAAATAAAAGTTGGCTTAAGAAATGCACCACTCATTGAAAAGTTATATAAACCAGTTTCAGGTGGAGTTTTTTAAACAATCAAGCGGTTTATACATTTTGTGGAATAAATAAAATTATTTAGAGGATACATGGGGCATGTGCTTGTGGTCTCCTATCTAGCTACTGACCAGCCCCAGATGTGGTTGGTTTCCACAAGGCTGCTGCAATATGTGCCCTCCAATCATGCCTTGGATCCATCCAGTAATTTATCCACCTTGAGATGCTTGTGGTTTTTTTGGTTTTGAAAAAACAGAAGATGGGACAAGAAAGAGGTGTGTAGGTCATGCAGAACCAGGAGAAAGTCAATATAGGGGCATAGATAGCCAACATGGCTTCCCCCCTCCCCTGATGATGCTGAACTACAACTCCCTGGAGTCCTAGTCAGCATGGCCAGTGAGAGTTATAGCCCACCAACATCTGGAAGGCACCATGCTGGCTACTATGCCTGGAACAGGGAGTTTTTCCTCCCTTTTTTGTAATACTGGAGCCCAGGATCATCTAATGAAGGACTACTATCAACCATACAATTCTGTCTAAGAATTGAGCTCTTCACTGCCCCCTCAGCTATTAAGGTGCTAATATGCAAAACAGCGTTTTCTGCGGCAGCCTCTTGCCTCTGGAATGCCAGGCCAGGACACTGGTATTACTTCTTCACTGCTTGGGTTTAGAAAAGCAGTTACAACTTTTAATCACACTATCTATCTATCTATCATCTATCTATCTATCTATCTATCTATCTTATTGCAATTCTCCTCTACCTTCTTCTCCAGGGAGCTGCAGGTGGTGTACGTGGTTCCTTCCCCCCTCGTTTAATCCCCACAACAACCCTGTGAGGTAGGTTAGGCTGAGAGGCAGTGACGGGCCCAAGGTGACGCTGGCCAAATGGGGATTTGAACCCTAGGTTCTTCTATGAAGAAGAGCCAGTTTGGTGTAGTGGTTTGCATGTTGGACTAACATGCAAGCCACTACACCAAACTGGATCTTCATAGAATTGTAGAGCTGGAAGGGACCCCGAGGGACAACTAGTCAAACCCCCTGCAATGCAGGAATCAGAAATATTGTTTTACTGTAAGCGACTTTGAAGAGTGTGATATAAGCAACTTTATATAAATGCATTTATTTATTTTTACACAGCAGATAGGGAAATCGCTACCACAAGTTGTGGCTGCCAGGTTGGAAAAGGGGGGTTAGACAAACTGACCGAGAAAAATGCTAAGAACTACTAGTCATGATGTCTACGTAACACCTCCAGGATCAAAGGCAGCATGCTCCTGAATATCAGGTACTGGGGGACACAGATATCTGGGGAGAGTGCTACTGCCCTCATGTCCTGTGTGTGGGCTTTTTGATACACATCAGGCTGACTGCTGTGGGCTGGAAGGATAATACTAGAAATCCAACAGAACTTAATAAATGACACATAGAAAGAGCATGTACCCAAAGCGCATACAGTAAATTAAGCTCAGCAACAAAATTAGCCAGAAGGGACACGCCCTCACAAAATTACTAGGTGTGCAATGTTTGAACACACACGTATCTTTTTAAATGTTGATTAGATAAGTAATTGTTGGGTCAGAGGTGTTTACAGTGATTGAACAAATTGATTTACATGAACTTAAACATAATAGGAAATGTTTATTGAAGTGTGTTGACTCCTCTCAAGACAGAGCCCCAAGATCTTACCTGCATCTCTACCACTTTCCCTTTGCTGCTGGGGCTGAGGGACCATTCATAGCTGACAATGCCGTGGTCATCTGTGCTCTGGTTCCCATAGAGGGTGATGGAGTTTTGGGGCAGAGTGATAACTTGGTTAGGGCCTGCATTTGCTACGGGTGGGTAATCCACTGCTTTGTTCACAGTCAGGCTGGCAGTGGTGGAGTTGCTGGCACCATCCGAGTCCACCACGGTGAGGCTGAAGAGGGAGGAAGGAAGAGAATTCAAAGATCAGGACAAAAAGGGAAAAGCTCAAAGGGAGCCACCGGCCCCAAATGAAAGGGAAGAAAATTAATGGTTTAAGCGGAATATGTATAAACTTTGGGGGGGGGGGCAAAGACGGATGCCTGGAACAAGTAGGAGGGAAACATGCAAATATGAAAATGTGATGCTATTTTAAACAAATGTACAACATGCAACTAAAGCTATATTCAAACATGTCCGTATTTATAACAAGAAAATAAAGAAATCAAAATGCCAGATACACATTTACAGACTCAAAGTCTATTCACAAATAATAATGGTTTTATTGCAGATTTTTGTAATGTTTGTGTATTTTATTTTGCCATATACCTTAAAATATTATTTTATAAAGTGGTATAGAAATCACCTTTAATAAATAAACTCAAAGCTGTGTCAAACAGACCCAAAAAGTCTATTTTTAAAAATCTTGTTCTCTCACTCTTGCTGAGTTGAGAATTCATTCACCAATAGTAACCTATTTTTGACAGAGCACTGGTTTTACACATGTAAGAATAATGTACCCCCCCCAAATACTGTATTTAAAAAAAAATGATTAGACATATCATTTTTTTGTTTTCATGTGGAGAAATTATTCAGGCAAAATCACACATGACATAATAAAATTTCTCTACACAGGATAACTAGTGGCTGAAATTATGAATTCATTCCATTGAAAAGCTGGTGAACTGAATGTTATATGTGTGGTTTATATCAGAGGCAACCCATTCACATGTGCCAGGGCTCAAGTGATGAGTGTAACCAGCTCTCTCTTAGGCAATGGCTAAACAAATAAGAGAACTAGTTCAGACCAATAAACTGCATTTTGTCTGCCTAGTGTGCTTTAGGCAAGTTCACAAAAACAAATGGCTGTATCTATCCCATTATTGCTGAAGGGGAAGTACTGTGGGAAGTAGTCTGCCTCTGAAAAGTCATGTCAGTCTTCTGCCACTCACATTTCATAGCTCCTAATTAATGAATCAACTGAATCCTTTTTTAAAAAACCATGTATGTATGCTAATGGATATCATCACAACATCCTGTGGCAAGGAGTTACATAGGCCAAGTTGTTTTCTCTGTACTATTTACCTCTAACATACTGTATGAGAAGTGGCCCTACAGTAAAGTATTAAGTGCTCCTTGGGAAAGCACTGTTAATTAGCCAACTGTGTGATGAACATTTCCACAGAGTCCCTCTGTCATTTATTTCCATTTACAGATGGGGGAAAGGGGAGGTTGGAGCCACATGGCAAGGAAAAGGCTTGGAACTGAAGCAGCATGGTGACACTAAAGCCCCTCACCCAGAAGCTCTTTTTATAAGGAAGGGCCATAGGTTAGTAGCAGAGCCCATGCTTTGTGTCTATTGGGTCCCAATCAGGATGAGCATCAAGCTCTGCAGTTAAAAGGATCTCAGGTCAAAGTATGCAGTGCAGCGCTAGATGGACCAACAGTCTGACAACTTCATATGTGTATCTCTCCTGGCCTCGTTACTGCTGATAAGGTCAATATGCATGAATAGCCTGTCATAATTTGCTGGGGGGGGTGTAGACAGGAGGGAAACACATAATTTACAGTTCAAACAATTTCATATTATATGCTAGTGGGTTCTGTAATTGCTCTCATCAAATGTCACCCATACAGGACCTGCAAGCTGGAAAAACATAAAAAATAATAGAATGAGGCTACCCACAGTCCTGCTTGCAATTAAAACAATTTAAAAGCTGGTATTCACTGTTGAAGCCAAAATATCTGTTTAAAAGACTTTCAAAATGCATTAACAAAACTCTCTTCCTAAGGATTAAGAGAGAGAGAGACAGAGAGCTTAGCAACTGAGATAATCAAATGCATGTGCAGACTTCACAAGTAAAAGCACAAAAATCTTTACAAGCAGAATTTGGATCATTTGCTGTACAGCACACTCCCAACTTCTTCCCCTTCTAAAAACAGGCTTGTAATAGGGGCTGTGCAAGTCATTAATTATTTAAAATCATTGGTAAAGCAACGAGGAAACAGACCTTTAGAGGTGGAAAGAACCCAGTTCACACATAATGCTAAGCCACACTGACTTAGCAAGAACAAGGAGGTGTGTGGATACCCAGAAGGAAACTCGCAGCTGCTTTTCCCTTCTCCAGGTCTTCCTGCTGCTGCACAACCCAGGGCTAAGCCATGGTTTGGATAAGCATTACATGCACACCTGAGCTCTTGGTTTGTCTTGCTCCCAACCAAAACACAAGCAAGTAACCAAGGCTGACAAGAAGACAAAACACAAGCTCAAATTCACACATAACACTAAGCAAAACCACAGCTTAGTTCTGGCTAGTGTGGCAGCAGGGGGATTGGCGAGGACCAACTCAACCACAATTTACTCTCTGGGTACCCAAAGAACTTGTGTGAATGAGGATGAAGCACTTTACTAGTTCCCCAATTCCCAGGGAGAGAACACAAAGCTGAGACACACAGTTTAACCATGGAGGATACTAAAAAACATTTTTTGCTAGGCTTAGCAAATACAATTTCATTTTTCAACCTACTGAATATTTCAACTATGAAGCAAATGGCAGACACACACAATCACCCTCATTCCATAACTATAAAGCTGAGGTCGGCTACACTAAACCAAAAGAAAATTGAATTATTACAGGAGAACTCTTCTTGAGCTACCTTGAACCTTTTATAAAGGAAACTCATCTAAAGATATCCTTACCCAATATATTCATTTTCAGATGGGCCTTAGAATAATCAATTTATTCCTGAACCTTTTATCCCCGACTAAAAATCACAGTGACATATTCAATAGTTATATGCCAAATCCTATTTTTATAATGAGAGAGGGTGAAAAAAATGGTTTGGAGCTGGGGGCAAAATAAGCTCTGCTCTATGGCACATGCATTCCTTCCACTATTCTCCTTACCCCCCTTCACATTAGCGGTCTAGTCACATATAACAGTTTAAATTGGGAGATTACAATTTTATGAATATAGCAATAACCTCAACCTCCACGGTCAGGGAAACTATAAAATGTGACTAGGTAGCAAAAAGTTGTTGCTGGTTTGTTTTGTAAACTGTTAGCTGATACATTGTTTTCCTTGGTTCATGTGAACAAAGGGTTATCTAGAGGTTTAACATACCAAGGGCTGATTTCATTAATTGGTTTGTGTCATCTATCTTATGCTTTAGATCTAGGAAATCCAAACCAGAGGTACAATCCCAGGTTCTTTGTCTTACCTGAAAGTGTAATTTCCTGGCACCAGATTGGTCAGTTTCAGAATTGCAGTGTCTGCCGATACCTTCTCCTCCCGTAGAGGCCCCTTCAGTTCTTCCCAGTGGTAACTGACTATTTTGTCATCATCAGTACTGTCTGATTCAATGGAAACAGATAAAGCCACATTCCCAGTAAGTTCAGGAGGAATTTAAATCTATTTACAAAGTAGCTTAAGGCCATACTATCAATATAGCAACTTTCACAAGGGACAAGAGTTAATTTTATTTTTAAACTGTGAAGCTATGCTTAATGTGCCATGTGATAAAAGAAAGAGTATTTAAAATATGAATGATAGTCCCCAGAAATGGGATTGCTGAATGAAAATAGGAATGAACACACTGGTAGAATCCATGCACCATTAATGTAAAGGTCCCAGACTCTATCCCACATCACTTCAGAAAAAAACATCTCAGGTAGAAGGGCTGGGAAAGATCCTTGGCTGAGATTCTGGGGAGCCACTATCTGTAATAATAAGCCAAAGCAGGAATGGGAAACCTCATGCTGGGGGGGGTGGCAAACGTGGCCTTCCAAGCCTCTCTGCCACCCCCTCACTAGAGCGGCTTTGCACTCTTCCTGGCCTGGAGAGAGGTGTGTGTAAAAAACTAGCCAACTGTACAAAGGAAAAACACACATCTATTGCTCTGCCCACCCCTGGCATGTGGCCCCCAGAAGGTTATCAGAAGGGAATGCAGATCTTGAGCTGAAAAAGATACCCCAGCCCTGAGCTAAAGGGACCAGAAGGCTGATTCTGTGTAGAGCAGCTTCATATGTTTAAACAAGTCCAGTGAGCAGATGTTTTCCTTGTACTGAGTTGGGGCTTCCCTAGTTTAACTAATGCATTTAGCAGTGAAGACCAGTAGCTACAAATCTACACGTGCCCACAAATTGATCAACAGTCAGTGCATGATTTGAACTGATCCTAATGATACATCAGCCACATTCCTCTAGAATCCCGTTCCTTAATAGACATTCTCGCTTGGTCTCCTCCATGACTTTTATCTGAGGCTTGCAGGAATAGATTGCACTAGTTTTATTAGGTACTTACGGCTGCCATCAATGACTGTTGAGGTAGTTGGTAGTGAGATCTCCAGGAACTGGGGTAACACAATGGCCACAGGGGGCTGATTCACTCGAGGCTCTGCGATGAAAAACAGAACTATTACAGCCACCATAGAAAGTTAACATCCTAGTCAACTGCAGCATTGTAGCTAAGAGATGGAGCTGTGAATCAGGAAGTCTAGGGCTCAAACCTCACCTCTGCCATGAACTCACTAAATGGCCTTAAGGAAAGATGGTCTCTCCCAACCTCAGCAACTACCCCACCCCGTCTTTTCAATTTGCAACATGGGATAAGGACTATAAAACAATAAACAAGAAGAACTTTGAACACTTGCAAACAGCTACATAAATTGTACATATTAAATTGTACATATTAATGTATTATTGAACTTGTGGTTAAAACTTGCCTTAGAAATGGGACTCCCTAGGTGACTTTAGGCAAGCGAGCTCACTGAGCCTCAACCTTCCTGTTTGCAATATGGAAATAATACCACTAACCTATTTTACAGGATTATTGTAAGGAACACAGATATATAGCCGGTGAAGTGCTTTGAGTGCTTACAGGAAGTGGCACTTTCCACACGATCAATAGAAGTCACTGCCTTCCTTCTACTGCTACAGTACAGAGCTCTGAGGAATCTTGGAACATATTAAACCCTGCTAGCAGCACCTAGTGGTATTTGGAGGAATAACTATGCCAAGAATAGTAATACAGTACATAGTTTGCCTTTCTTACCACTGAGGAATCAAAACCAGCTCTCACACAACCGGAATGAGGGAGAAAAGGTTTCTTAGTCAGCAGAGACCTGAATCTTGGTACTTTCCATTCTAGAAGTCAATCACTGGCTATTAGAAGCCATTAGGCCTACTTCCTCCCTTTTCATGGACAAAGGATATCCAAGAGGAGATCTATGGCTGGTGAAATACAGGCTCTTTTACATGGCCATTCTCATCAATTATCTTTGTTTATATGCCATTGTGACATTCTGAAGGAAATAGTGTTGGTAAAGGTATTCCTACCACTCCCTGGGAGGGACGCGGGTGGCGCTGTGGGTAAAAGCCTCAGCGCCTAGGGCTTGCCGATCGAAAGGTCAGCGGTTCGAATCCCCGCAGCGGGGTGCGCTCCCGTTGTTCAGTCCCAGCGCCTGCCAACCTAGCAGTTCGAAAGCACCCCCGGGTGCAAGTAGATAAATAGGGACCGCTTTATAGCGGGAAGGTAAACGGCGTTTCCGTGTGCTGCGCTGGCTCGCCAGAGCAGCGATGTCACGCTGGCCACGTGACCCAGAAGTGTCTCCGGACAGCGCTGGCCCCTGGCCTCTTGAGTGAGATGGGCGCACAACCCCAGAGTCTGGCAAGACTGGCCCATTCGGGCAGGGGTACCTTTACCTTTTTACCACTCCCTGGGAGGGGAGGGGAGCAGCAGCACCTGGCTGCTAATCCTTCCAATCCTATTTGATCTACTACTCTACTAGATCAAATATCTCCAACCATTTCAGAAACAGGACCTGCTTTTAACTCAAGCATGCATTGGAAGACTCATTTTTTAATCTTTCATTTGCATGGTGGTAGTGCTCCTGTTGTGACTCACCTTGGATCAGGCCACAACTCACTAATGGGTCCCGATCCACCAACTGAAGACCAGTGTGCTAGATCAATGGTTCTTAACGATCAAGGCCTCCTGCTATGTTTGCAGCATCTGGCTTGGGCTATGCTATCATAGCACTGTTCATCTGTTGGGAGGGGAAAGCACCCAGACTGAATTCAGTCAAACTCCCTCTAAGACAGTACACACAGCAGGGAAGGCTAACCTGCATTTCTCCTGACATCGTTCAACTCCAGCTCCTAGCAGTCCCAGCCAGCATGGCCAATGGTCTGGAGTGATGGGGAGTGTAATCTAACAATATTTGGAAAGGAACAGGTTACCCACCCTGCAGTGTTTGCAACACAAACCATTACTTGGGATAGAGGGGGAGAAATCTAGGTGCCCTCCCCTACCAATCCAAAAACTCCAGGTCAATATTATTGCTGGTATAGTGAATTTGGTTACCATAGAGAAAAGCCTGGCTTTTGACTCAATTCAAGCAGCTCCTCTAACATATCAGGTAAGCACTGATAGCAGAGGCAGTGGTGAGCAGCGACTTCATTGTCTGGTGGAAATTGCAAACTGGCAGGCAGAGAGGCAACCCTGGCATTAATGGGAAAATGGCCAAGTGACAAACACCAAGTTTCTAGATTTGCTGACAATACACACCCACACACCTGTTGTACCCAACGTTTCCTAGGTGAAAGATAGGAAGATGTGAATTTGGAGTATAAGCCATTCAACATCCATTAACGGGTAGGAACAACCACCCACTCATGGCACCACCTCTAGCTATTTTAGGCACCAGGCGAAAGCATTTTTATTCACCCTGGCCCTTAGATATTAACTTTCTGCTTATCTTTCAGTGGGGTGAAGTTGGATTTGTGTGTGTGTGTAACTTGTGAATTTTAGGATGTTTTACCCTTTTGCATCACTTCGAGTGCTTTGTTTCATTTTTTGAAAAAGAAACAAATAAACACAATAAGTAAATAAAATGAAAATAAACATTGAGGCTAAGGAGAAGGAAGCTGGCTGTCACTGCTGCCACTAGGACTGGTTGTAAATAAGAAGCAGACATGGTGGCCCTGGACTGAACCAGGCAGAGGTTGGTGGGACAGTGCCACACTTGCCCTAATGGACTAGCCTCCACCAAGTCAAACATTTGTGGACTCCTGTGCACAAACATCCTGCTCTCTCAGTTCCCTGGTTTTGCAGTCTTAAGTGCACTGAAATAGAAGAAAAACCTGTATAGCCAGAGATAACAGTACAGTGGGGGGAGGGGATAGGACCAAATGGGTACATAAGGGCAAATGAACAATGCTTCTATCCTATGACCTTCCAAAAAATATTAACTATGTCCAGCCTTGGTAGTAGCAACCAAATTTGGAGGGAGCAAATTCTGGCTCACAATTTGGCCTCATTTTGGCTCACAATTTGTTTTGGGAAGTGTGAATTAATCACAAAGCTATGCCAAACAGGAAAGAAAATGGCAGCCACTAAGAAGAGCACTCCTGCTGCTGCCACCCACCATAAAACAAGGCAAAGAAGAAGGCAAAAGTTAGTGAATGATTTTTCACATTCTGTTTCACCCAACGCCTCCCCTCCCACTGCAAATTTAGCCAAAATTTCTCCCTGGAGAACTTGTAGTCATTTTCATTAAAACACACACACACACACACACACACACACACACACAACACACACACACAAGCTGCCTTGCATCTCAAGCTTTTGTGGAGATTGCTTTTAAAAAAAGGAAATATATAACCTACAAGCTGATAAATGTACCTGCTAAGCATACCTGGTTTTACTGTCACATTCACCATTCCTTCTCCGTGAACATTATCACCATCTACTATCACATTGAATTCGTACAGGCCAACTGTGAGCTAGCAAAGAAAATGAACACGGCACATTAGACATGGGCAAGGCTGTGTCTACCTGTTCCCACCCCTAAATTAGACCACCACAATGATGTTAGTACCTCATAACAAGCAACTGACATATACTGAATTATGAGAGACATGAGCCATTGATGCCATCTGCTCAGAAGAGAATAAACCCCTTCTCTATTTGGACCCTAACATCCTGCATTACCTGGGCCTTGTGCTCAGGTGGAAGTGGGGATATTTTATTTTTCTCATCTACTGTGGACTCAGCAACGCGACAAAAGCAAGGAGAGGATGTGAACTCAAAGCCTCTAACAGTTTCATTGTACCTGACACCTCAGAGAACCACTCAGAGTCCGACAATATGTAGTTAGATGGGCCAATGGTCTGACAGCATAAAGCAGCTTCAGTACATATATATGTTACACACTGTAACATTTGCTTCCCCTAACCTTGCAGCATGACAGTGCAAAAGCCTACAACTGAGATTTTAGATTTAAGAGTTGCCCAAAAAGCAAGAGATTCACCTTGGATAATTTGAGAATCTGTGAGTGCTGTCCTTCCATCTCTCCACTATAGTCGGTGGGGTGTGTGATCAGCCTCCAGTCATAGGAGTAGCTAGTCCCTAAACAAACAAACAAACAAACAAACAAACAAACAAACAAACAAACAAACCAGAGGTTAGAAGAGCCCACTATCAAAAGAAACTGAATGAGAAGATCAAAGCAGCTCAGAAGCTTAAGCCTTATATTGAAGATTCAAACTAATGTCACTTCAGAATACTAAATTGTGTTATATCCACATGTGGTGGTCCAGCACATATTGGGAGTGAAACTGATGCAATAGAAAGGAATACTCATATAAGCTGAGATTTGAAAACAAAAAATGAAATCTTTTCCTACTGATTATGGCCAGAATATGTCATACTAAATCTTGGGAATGTCCATTCCCATCCCTGGAGCTCACCCTGTCTCGGGGATTCGAAATGCCGACCTTCTGATTGGCAAGTCCTAGGCTCTGTGGTTTAACCCACAGCGCCACCCGCATCCCATTTTGCACTTACTTAACTGCAAAACTTTTTTTAAAAGTGGATTTGTTATGTTAGAGCAACAGAGCACTTATTCCACCTTAATTGTGAAAACTTAATTTGGCATGTGCTTTAATCCCTCTCACAAAATGGTAACAGTTGGCACCCAAAATATATACAGTTGAGTCAGTTCTATGCTCATCTAAGCAACCATCTCTGCTCAGGAAAGAGCCTCACCTGGGCTCTTGTAAATATTTGCACTCTCAGGGTATATCAAAAGCTGTTCAAAGCGAATTCAGTGTGTGGAGGCTGTGTACACACAACTGGCTCAGAACTGGCCAGTGTATCTTGGAGTTAGCCCAGATGAACTTCTTCCTGACATGCTCATGTGGACAGGCTTTACCTGTTGATTACCAAGCAGGTTTGACTGAGCGTTTCCAGCTTCATCGCCTATCTTGAGCTTAAAGGAGCATGCATCTCTTCCAGCAAAACTAACAAGGTGGCAAATTCAGGTTTGCTACCACGTACTATGTGCCATAGCCCCCTGGGATCTACCTTTAGGTGGTGGAGGCAAGACGTATGCATTCAGCTCCACTTCATTCTTTGGCAGTGTCACTTCAACACTGTCTCCAGCAGAAACTGCCAGTTTCTTAATAACTGTAAGAGAGAGAGAATTAAAAATTAAAAGACAAAACCATTTCACATGTTACATTTTCCATTCATATACCCAGATGCTTGTGGAAGTAGTATTGGCTCAGTTTGGATGTGATGGTAACTCATGGTTGAACTTTGCATGCAGGCCAGCCCTTCATTTCCTCCTTGCAACAGCCATTTTGTTGTACAAAAAGTATATGACATTGTCACTTCAAAAAGAAGGGGAAAGCATGAGAGAGTAGAACACGTTGAGAAGTATGTATTCATTTTAAAAAGCACCGAGATGCAGCAAGGCACGACTGTAAGGAGGAGATAAAAAGCATCCACTTTCCATTCTGAACTAACCAGAGATTCTCATCATGTCCAGTGCTTTTTTCTTTAAAAGAAAAAGGTTAGGGGCACTCTCATTTTCCTACTCATATTGAAATACTGCCCCTCAATGAAGCCAAACTTAGATTCACAAAATGTTTAGGGGTATGCATCCCCCTGTGTCCCCCCAGAAAAAAGCACTTATTATGTCTAAACTGGTTTGTTTAAAGTATGGCTTGATCCTGACATGTTTGAACAAACTAGAGTCCTCCACCCCAACCCATTTGGATACAATGAGAAACTCTGGTTTGTTTTAAGCCATAAGTGAAAGCTTCCAATCTTCCCTCACCCACACTAAGTTTAAGGGCTGCTGCTGATGCTTGTCGTGCATGCCATGCTAACCAACAGTTTTAAACCTGTTACATCCAAAAGGGGCCATTGTGTGAATGAGTCATATGCTTCTCAATTAACTACAGCAGTTTTCAATATTCTGGAGCCTGGAATACGGAAATGCATGTTTTTGATGAGAAGCAAGCTGTGCGTAATAACCCCGGGCACAGAAATTGCTTGCAGAAATCATCCCACGTCTCAAAATTAAAGTGCACCACAAGCCCTTAGTTGCAAAGCTTTAGAAATAACAAGCTACAAATTATTAAACTATAACATCCCATCCTTTAAACTTAGATGTCATTTGAGATTTTAAACTGAAAGTGAATACAAACCAACAGAATCATACAGAAATTAAACTCTTTTGCTATCTTTCTGGAAAATTCAACATGCAGTTTGTGCTCTGTACTGAAGGGAGATGTCAGCCAGGTGCAGTAGAGATGAGAAGAGCTGAATCAGATATGTTTCAGGAGACAATCTAGCTGCTCTTTCTCAAACTGAGAGGGACAAGAGCCTCTATTTATTCAACTGTAAGCTTAGCCTTTTGCAAACATAGCAAGAATTTGCACTATTCTGAGCTGGAAACTGAGAAGCATTTTAAGGTCCAAGTAAGTATGCAGATCCCATAAAATTTAACTCTCTGGTACTTGTTGTACCTTTGCATATGGGGTGGTATCACTGAAATTGATCTTTATGCTTTGTTTCAATTTTAAAAGCACTCCAGTTCTTCTCAAACAGACCAGCCCTTCATTGCCCCCTTGCAACAAACATACAACAAAAATGAAATGGCACTTTAGCTTCAGAATAAGGGGGGCGGGGAGGATACGGAACAGTAGAACACCTTCAGAAGCATCTATTTAAAAAACAGAGAGGAGAGAAAAACATATATGACCATAGACCATATATAGAGTTAGAACACTAGTCCCTCAAACTCAGTATTACCCAAACTAGTGCTAGGGATTCTGTGGCCCTTCAGATGTTGGACTGCAGCTCCCATCAGTCCTGCCAGCATGACCAATAACAGGTGTGCAACGACATCTGGAGGGCCACCAGTTCCCCACCACTGGTCTACACTGCATGGCAGTGGCTCTCTAGCGTTTAGACAAGAGCTTTCCCCCAGTCCTACCTGGAGATACAAGGGATGGAGCCTGGAGCCTTCTGTATACAAAGCATGAGCCCTTCCCTCAAAATACACTTGGAGAAGAGATATAGCATGGAGGCCAAGACTGAGAGTTGCAAAATAACCTCACCTCAACCACAAACCCACTAGGTGACTTTAAGCAAGCCACACAGTCACACACACTCCACCTGAGGAGAAAAGGACTGGCCTCCTTTACAGGACTGTTACAAAGGTTCATGAGATAAAAGAGTGTGAAGTTCTTTGAATACTTGAAATGTGTTATATAAACGCTAATTATTATAATGATGAGCACAGTTGAGTGGTACCAGCAGCCACCATTTTCTTTTCTTTTCTTTTTAAAAATGAGCTTTATTTTGTTTGCTGCTGATTGACAGAAACTGGGTGCAAAAGAGGAGAACCAGGCACAGCACAGGTGTGCGGAAGGGAGAAATCTGAAATTGATGCTTCTGGGGGCTTAGCCATCAGCTGTTGGTATGAAAGTCCCAGCCAGGCTGCCAGAGAAGGAGAATGACAAAGTTGGAATGGGAACGTAGAAAACAGAGATGTAAAATGTAAAAATTAAAAGCAGATCTCAAACTGAAGGTTGAAGTTAGAGGAGGGTCCCAGAAAAGGCAGCTGTACATAGTTTTTTGTAATTATTTCTCATCCGAGGCCAAACACTGTAAAACGTTTATTTCACTTAATCAAGCGATGCACAACACAAAGGAGTAGCTGTGGAAAAGTGCAAAACCAGAATGATACGTTCCTAGATCTTGTACAATATCACCAAAAGGTTTTTTCCCCTCTTCCGAACTAAGATAGCAAGATGTGATGCTTTAAACAAGCACTAGAAGAAAACTTCTGTCAAAACATTTGGCAAATGAACAGTCAGATTAAGAGCTGAGATTGTGGAACTATGCCAGTAGCATTTAAAGGCAGGCTTACAACATCTCCTCAGCCGACAGTTGCTCTTACCTGGCGTTGGGGCAGCAGTGCTGGGTTGCACAGCAGGGTTTGTTGGGACTACAGGATTACTCTCATTGGTGGGGCGCCAGTTGGAACAGAAGTAACCAGCTGCGTTTCCCCCATACCCTTCCCATGAAGACTGCTAGAAGTTGGAATGGCATCCTCCAACGAGAAAGGCTGGGTAGAAGTGTTGTTGGATGGCTCGACTTTCTCAGCATTTGCAACAGGACTGGGGAATGCAGCTGCCAGGGAGGGTTCTGAAGTGGAAGCTCCAGAAGGGGCCTAGTGAAAGCAAGAAAGGAACGTGAGAAAGCATTTACTGACCACAACATCCAAAATGGCATTTATAACCTAACACTTATCATCACCAGTCATGAACATTTCCCCAACTCTGTCAGAAATTTCACCCCATTCAAGGCCCCATTCAGAGGAAGAGTAGGGAAAATGATGATGTAGTAGTAGTAGTAGTAGTAGTAATATTCATTATTAATGTATGTGTCATATCACTTGAGAAAAACATGTTTGGCTAGAAACAGCTGGGGGTGCGCACACGTGCACAAATTGCACATTTCTGGACAAGAAAGAGGGGGGGGATCAAGTTTCTGGAGACTGCATGCTGACTGGAGAAAGTGCATACTGCCTGGAAAATGTGCAAAATGCAATTGAGATATGCACACTCCCAGGGGCCCTGTTGAAGGTTAGGTATCCTGACTAGAGAACGTATAAAATTCTGTCAATATATGCACATATCCCACGGCCTATTGCAGATTATGTATCTCGACTGGGAAATGTGCATAATTCCTTCTTCATGGAATGATTATATACACTTGAATATGCACAGTGGCTTGTTATGCACATTAACCACTCAGTTTACATTCCTCTAAATCAGGGGTAGGCAACTAAGGCCCGTGGGCTGGATGTAGCCCAATCGCCTTCTCAATCCGGCCCGTGGAAGGTCTGGGAATCAGCATGTTTTTACATGAGTAGAAAGTGTCCTTTTATTTAAAATGCATTTTCTGTGTTACTTGTGGGGCTTGGGAACTCGCTCACTTCCCCCCAAAAAATATAGTCAGGCCCACCACATGGTCTGAGGGGACAGTGGACCAGCCCACGGCTGAAAAGGTTGCTGACCCTGCTCTAAATTGTAAAATTTCTTCCCTGCATTGGTGCATGTCACACCTTCACTATACAGCTTTCAGCTAACGCTTTATCCTGGCCTTTGTGTGCCTGAGAGGTGTGTTTTAAATTGTTGTAACCTGCCTTGGGACTTGCTGTGAAGGGTGCAAATAACAATAATAGGCGTGAATAACAAAAAAACAATGGGATTATGCAGATGTAACAGCCTCTGCAACATGAGAGAACTGGATTTCAGATGCTGTTCAAAAGGAGCACATTGTGCAAACAGAATTTCTGGCTTTATGGTCAAGAACTTGGGTGACAAGCCCATTTTGCTCACTTATAAAATTCTCCCACTTTTGAGTGCCGTGAGAGACTAATCAGACCAGTGTAAACAAGACAAGGGAACAGACGAAAACAATTTCCTTTCTTTCATAAGAAAATTCCTTCCCCAGGCCCTCCTCATTCCGGTGGGTAGCCTGAGGCAGCCAGAACCAGACATTTCAGCTTTAACTGGGCTTATCTGTATATGCTACATATTTTCCTGAGTTGATCTTTGTATAGCATAAGATGAACATTTAAATCACAGCACACAGAAATATCAACAACCTGGACTTGATTTTCATAACAAACAAAAATATCACAGCACTCTTTCTTGTGGCACAGTCAAATGGCAATACTTAAAAGGTCAAGCTAAGGGCGAGAAATTCATGACTTCTGTTATCATGTACGTTATGTAATTTGGGAAGGTGAGTATCAGCACATAAAGCTCTGGATTTGAACTCTGGGCTCAGGGCCCCAGTTATGAAATAATTTTGGGTTGCGGTGTTGTTCTGTTCAAGATGTGGTACCAGCTGAATTTAAAGGGATGATCAAAACACACATTCAATTCATAGATGGAGAGAGAGACCACTGGAGACTATTGGACTGAGTCAATCTGGATTATGAAATGTTGGTGACAGCACTAGTTATCTGGTTTAGTATATGAATTTGATAGGCTGGTAATGTTCATATCATTTTGGAACAAGCCTTGTTTCCTCAAGAAGCTATTCTCTGGTATGGAATGTTAAATGAGATTCTGAAGGTGTACAGCCTGGAGGCCAAGTGCCCCAAACCACAAAGTACACAAACTTAATTTAATGTTAACCTATGACTCTCAATGAAACTCTTGTTGATTGTTGCAAAACTACAAAGCCAGTTCAGTTGCGTTTAAGGCATATGAAAAGAAGTTCTTTCAACACTGCAGCCTCATATGCAATGAACTCTCATTTACTGTTGTGAACTATGTGATCAAATCATCAAATCAACAAGCAGGCTCATGTTGGCAAGCAACTTCTCCAATTGTGTAAATCAATTATCTCAATTATTTCTTGCAAAGATTTTATGTGGTGGTTGCCTCCTCATTCAGACCCTCTCTTCTCCTGCATGGTTGTTGTTGTTTTTAGTGGGAGATTGAGAAGCCTTTCCACAATAGCTGGTGTTCAATGGGCTGGGGTGCACAGCAAGAGAGATCAAACTACATTTCTGAGGATGTAATATACAACTGTGTGCACATTGCACAGCACCATCACTGCACATGTGCTAACTATCTGGAACTCTCTTAAAACAGACATCTGTTTCAGGACAATCACCAAGAAAGCT